CACGGACAGAAAAATAAAAGAGAAAAAGTGCGTCTTTTCATGAAAATTCTATAACTCTGCTTTGCGAGAATTAGTTTATTTGATTTTGTAAACCAATACAATTTAGACTGCGTTTAAAAGATGTTGCAAAAAACATTTTACAATTTTTTTATATTTATCAGTTAGTTTTGTACATATTTGACTAAAACCTTCAAAATTAATTTAAAAAAAAGAGTTCACTTTAAAGTCGACTTATAAAACACACAGTATAATCAGCAGGTTTTTTTGTAAAAATGTTAATGTAGGCTAAATAGCACAAACACATACCCATTTTTCTTACATTAACACTGTTCCAAGATGCTGGGGATATTAACCAAATGCTTCTAAACGCATATGAATGATAAGATCGCTAAAAAGCGAAACAAACAAATCAATTCCAAGAATATTTTAGCAATTCAAATAACTAAACAAACATGATTCATCGAATTTGTTATTGGCAGTACACAGACCTACATATTGAATATATGAAAGCTAGAAACCCAAGTTCAACCACCTACATACATATATAATTTTGCACTGTTGTTGTATTTGTTTGTTTCTAATAACCATCGCGTGTGCTTCCTGATAAGCGGCATTTTTCTGTCATCAAATCTAGAGAAAGTTAATGAGTTTCTTGTGGGCGTTTGTTTTCAGCTTAAGAACCCGTTAAATAGAAAGTGTTTAAAAAATATTTTTTTGCAATAATTCCTATAAAAAATTGTTAAAGTCACAAACATTGAATTATTTTTTATTTGGGCAGTTACTGCCGGAAGTGATTAAGTGTTTAAACAGTGCCAAGCTGTAAAGTTGCCGAGTAGAATTCTACATTTTTCAATAGATTTATTGAGCTAGATTAACTTGTGCCGTGAATCCGACGGATGAAGATCGGGCATTTAATTAGTTCATCCCAGTAAAAATATAAATAAAAAGCCGATATTAACTTTCACAACTGTACTTCTTGTTCAAAGTTCATTAACCAGGCTGCCGGGTATTGCCTAGGCGTGCTAATTGCAATTGCTGACTCTCAGGTGTAAAATGACATACTTACATCTTGGTCTGCATGTATGAAGTCACTTTAAAATTACTTCTAAATTCTAACTGATAATTAAAGGCTCTTTATATAACTAAGTGTTTCACACCTTTTCAGTGTAGCCTTTTAGCTTTAATTCGTTTCCATATAGCGCGAGTCAGAGCACTGTTAATCACTATAAAGACGCTAAGATTGATTAATTTTTGAAAAACTTTAGGGACACATTGAAACGGACATACGGAGCGAATATACAGGGTGATTTGTTGAAAATGGGAAATCTAGAAACTGAAGATACTACACGAGAAATGGTGTCCATTGACGCATATTTTTGAAAAATAAAATAAATATTTTCTATAAACATATGGGAAAGGAACTTCAAATTTGGTGACGTTAATAACTTTGCATCCTGTATACGAAATTGAAAGCTTCCAAGAGCCATAATTTCTCCATACATTAAGTATTCTTGTATCTTATCGATATTTTGGTTCGTTCTTGAGAAAAATGGACTTACAAACGCCAGACGAGTTTAAAACAGCCTATTGGGATTGCCCCTGATTTCGTCGAGAGCGACATGTATTTTTCGATTATTTGGAAACTTTTGGTTCGATGTAAACTCTCATTCCATAAAATAAAACAGAGGATTGAAGTCCGGACTTTCGGGTGACCAAAGAATAACTAGGCCAATCTAACGATCTGGCAAAGTTCCAGCCGAAAAAAATGTGGAGGAGCTCCATTTTGCATAAACCACAATTCTCTCCTTAAATCAAGTGGAAGTTCGCCAAGCATCTCGGCTAGATTTTGTTGAATAAATTGTAAATATTTAATTTGGCATCAAGTTGAAAAAGCCAAGCAGGGAAATTGCCAAATAATGGCGCATTAAACATTAATTTTAAATTAATGTTGATAGTGCATTGTCTTGCATTCAAAGCATGAGGATTCTCAGAATACGACAAATGATTATTTTGTCAGTTAAAACTTCTTCTTTTTTCATATTTCTTAAAGGAGAACTAGTGGCTAGAGCGATCTACTAATGCTCCAGTTTCACTGTGAGACGCTTTTGAAAATTTGTCTAAAAGTTCAAGAAAATTACTCAAAAATTACCTGAGAGAGAAATGGATTTGATTTTTTGCGCAAAATCGTYTATTTCGACTAGGTTTGCTTTGAAAAACTTTGGAAGATRARCAAAAAAAAATTWGCCGAATTTGTGACSGCGTAAARTGACGACACSAAGTTGATGTTTTCTGCATCTATCGAGAAGACTTTTCTCTTAAAGAATAGCTGATCGGAAAATTTCTAACTGGTGCAGTTCTSTGGGGAGAAGCCCTTGAAAATAGACTTGAAAATCTACGATATTATCATAAGAAAGGCCCACAAAGATGATCTGTGTGAACACATTTGATGTCTCCTGCATCTATAGAGAAAAAGCTAGTGTTCGTTTGTCTATGGGAAGGACTTGGGAGCTAAATGACTCATAAAGTCAAGTAAAAATTGAAATTTTCTCAAAAATTACGTGGAGRTGAGATGGATTTGAGTTTTGGCGCATGAGTTTTGTAGGCAAAGCCTTGCTCTTYASAATTGTGAGCAAGAAAACCCTCTACTTCTTCTAGTTTTTCTTTAACAAAATTGAGAARGTGGGACAGAAAAAACCTGCCAAATTTGCATTGAAAACAGAGAGAAAGATTGGGAAGTAAGGRAAGCAACCGAATAATAGGTTGGGTAGACTTCTTTAAAACTCTTCAAATAAAGCTACGAATTTGATGTTTTCCTCATCAATAGAGCASCGTGAAAAGATTTTGAAAATTATTGGCTCAAACCAACTAAATTTAAAGCCAGATGAGCCATAAAGTTGCYATTTGAAAATTTCCCAAAAATYACYTGAAGGAGAGATGGAATTGATTTTTMGAACATCTATAGGCGAAGGTTTGCTATATAGAACTAACGGGCAGGAAATCTTCTATTTCGCCTAATTTTGCTTTGGGAAAATTTGAAAGATGATCCAGGCAAAATCTCCCGATTTTGCCATCAAGTAAATTTTTAAAATTTTACAAAACTTATAACGTTATAACGTATTGCACAAAGTTGATGTTTTCTGTGTCTACCAAGACGACTCTTCTATTTAAGACTAGCTGATCGGAAAAATCTTAAATGTTTGACTTATCTGGTTAGAAGCTCTTGAAAATAGGCTTGAAAACTTGCAAAGAATTATGAAAACTTTTTAGGATAATACGCACATTTGAGCCTTCACACAGAATACTTTTCGCGTAAATAGTTCATATCGTCAATGTCCTAACTGGTCTAGATTTCGTTTGGAAAGTATGGAAGGAAATCTACAGAATATTTGATTTTTGGTGCAGCTTCACGGCAAATATACTCCATATTTGCTGTACAGACTAGCAGGTAGGAAATATCCGTTGGCACCTAGTTTAACTTTGAGAAAATTTAGGAGTTGGGTCAGAAGAAATCTGGCAAGTTTACAGTGAAAAGCGTCAAGGTGATTTCCAATTTTTGCAAAGTGATCGCACGAAGTTTCTGTTTTCTGCATATATCGAGAAAACTTTTCACTTTACGACTAACGGGCAATCTCCTAACAGGTCCAGTTCTATGGGTAAAAACCCTTAAAAATAGGCTTGAAAACCTGCCATATTCTGCCACAGAAGACCAAAAAAACATTTTTAGAAATTCTTAAAACTCATCAGGAGAGGACACATATTTGCTGTTTCCTGCACCGATAGAGAATACTTTACGCGTAAAATTTTTGGAAAATTTCGTTTCAATTTCGTTTGGAAAGTATGGAAGGAAACCTACTGAAAACGGTGCATGGAACTATAAACTCGATGTTTGAAATTTTGTTCAATCCCTTAAAATAATGACAATAACTTTTACTATTCAGAACTGCATGGCCAATTTCATTTTATTCAGATCAAGAGTCAACAGATTTAGTACTTTTGCTTTCACCAATTTTTGAAGCTACTTTATTTTGATGCTGCTTAAACAAGGATTTTTATGTGGAACTGTAATTTACATTTGTTGTTTATCTTTGGACTATCCGACAGTATTTTAAATATATTCAGTTTCTCTTTAATAGGCCTGTCAGCCTGTTTTGGATTTATTAATCAACCAATCGAGAAACTAAAAATTAACGAGTTTTTATAACACAATTTTAAAATTGGAAGCAAAAATTATTATCTTTTTTAGCGACTTTTCTTTGAGTATGCATGCAATTGAAGAATACATATACTTCCTCTCGTTTTGCAAAGGTAAGAGAAGAACAGTGCAAAAACAAACAACAAAAATAAAGGAAAAAAATCAGGAGAAATATGATTTCTGAATCAACTTAACGCTTTAACTACTTCTATTGAAATCACTTGTAAACCGTTTATTTAATAACTGGAAACACCGTCTTCACTGTTATTTAGTTAATTTAATAGGCATACTTAAGCAGTGAGTTAAAGAACAATTATTGAATTCAGTTCAATGCCATAAATTAACCGATTGAGTATTGCTGAAGAACAATTATTAACAGCCTTATAATAATTTTCCGTTGCAATCATATTATTACAATTTATTATTGCTAAACCCACCTATTTAATGGGACATTTAACGCCAACAATAAAGCAAATAATTTAGTTATCAGTCTGTAGTGCAGACTTTTTGCAAATTTTTTGTGAAAATGCTATGTTTCATCTTTTTCTTAAGTTTACGTTGATTCATACTTCCTGGCCTGATCTAATTACCTGAATAATTATTTTAAGTCTGAAATGATTTGTAATTATGCACGATTCGATTGCAATTAATAATAATATCAAAGAAGCTTTCGCAATTGTATTTTACTGAAAATACTTGAATGTTTATTATTTATCAATTGCTGACTGATCTAATTAGCTTGATGTTGCAATAAATACTTAGAACAATGACTATTTAACATGCTTAATCATGAAATTAATTGTTTCAGAAAAAACGTTTGTATTGAACGCGAAGAAAGTACCGACGATGACACGGATGATGGTAAAAAAGATGAGGACGGCAAAAACAAAACAGAAAGCAGTGAAGAACCGAATTTCTTTGCTACGTCTATTCGACTCTCCAATTGTTTCGAGACTGAAAACAAATACGAATGTGTTACCAGGTAAGCAATAATGTTGTTTAAAAAATTGAGTCCAAAGCAAAAATATTGGGGTGAAAACCCAAGTTAGTTTAGTTGATAAGAGTTTTTCCCTAAATTTTCCTAAGAATCGAATTTTTCGCTAATTTGACTTTCTCATAAAAAACTTTCAAAAAATCCAAGAAACGCCTGATTTTTCTATTATTCTGTAGAAAAAAATCACGTCACCCAAATCGACACACCTTTAAATGAATAATTTTATTAATATCACATTCTAATTTTTTATTAAATATTATTTTCGCCAAATGTGGTTCCGCTTGTGCAAATTGCTGCAAATTTGATCCCATCGACCCACATGTCTGTTGACGTAGTTCCTCTTTGCATTATTCATTTGTTATTTAGATCGTTAGCGGTATTTTATTAACAATTAGTTGGAATTTCTTCTCTGCATCAAATTATACTATTTTTTTTCGACTGGCTGAAAAGGAATTAGCTACTTTCTTGTTGGCGTTAATTATCAATTATTTAATTACGAAGGAGTTAAAGTGTAGGAGCAAATGGCGGTTTTAACTGTATCAAATATCCGCATATTCGAATATTCAACCGACAAAGTTTGGCAAACAAGTTTTTATAAGTTTCAAATGCTGCCAAGGTTTTAGTTTATTTTTGGTTTCCATATGTTTTTTCAAAAATTATTCGATGTTCATATACGGTTTATGTCTAATGATGATCAGAAACATAGTACATTCAAAATCGCCAAGTTATAGCTTGATTTTACTCCACAATTTCGTACGTTTTCTCAAAAAAGTACTTTCAACAATCAATATTGTTTTTTATTAGTTTTTTGTCTGATTCTGTTGAATTGCAATCGGATTTTTCAATTTGTTTCTATGGTTTCATGTGCTTTTTTGCATTTGATATCGACTTGCTATTCCCGTTGTTGCATGTAGAACAACAATTGTTGGAAATCTGAATAGAAAATAACAATAATTGATCGACCTTTTCATGATTTATCTCCTAAAATCTAATAAACATTTTCTTATTATTAGTCTTGTATATTTTGTTCACTAAAATCTTCAAACTATCGTTATTACGTGTAAATGTAATTTTATTCGTGTTTTCTCAATACATTTTTAGTTACCAAATACATATAAATTTCAAAGTAAGTGGTCTAATAGTAATAGTAAGTAAGTTATTTAATATTAATATTTATAAAAGCATTAACAAAAAAACGTTTACATGGTTTACATGACTATTATGCTCTAGAGTACTGAAGATCTTAAACATCTTAAAGATTGCTTTGTGCATTCAGAAAATCTCTACGGCTGGTTACAATTTTTTCAATAATGACTTTTCATTCAATACTTTATTATTGCTTATTTAGTTCACAACTTTATTCCTATGAAAATAGGGCATCGGCTAATCGCACTTTCAGGCCATATGAGCCTATTCTTAAGAATATTAAATATTTTATGATATTTTACAGTAACAGTTTTGCACTGACGAAAAAATTGAAGAAGTTCTAGCTAGTGTACAGTATAATAATTAGTACAATTTTAATTGATTCACTTTATAAACTTTGGACGGCTTTCATTTGAATGGTAATAATTCAGAAAGGAAATAAAACCAAGTTAAATCTTAAGCAATCAGTACCTTGAACAATTTTGACTAGCATACTCAAATTTCATCATTAGCTAATGCATTAACAATAATTCTTGATTATTAGTTGCTGGTTTAGTTTTTACTTTTTGCCTACATTATTTTTCTCTAAAAATAATAAGTGCATTATTTCTCTATTAACCCATTTTTGTATCAGAACAAAGTCATTTATTTAGCAATTAAAATCACATCTATACTTTCGGAATTTTTATGCCACGAATCAATTGTATTTTTTTTAATTGAAATGAAAGCGAGTGGCATTCAGTCCAACAAAAATCTGTAATTCTGACATGGTTATAGCAAATTATTTTTTTTCAAATTTGGTAAAACTTTGATGAACATGATCTAATTATCAACATTAAGCAGCATCTAGTTTTCACTTTTCGTGTAAAAAAAAACGAAATTGAAACAAAAAAAATATTAAAATAAAATCTGGGGTGGGCAAATTTTAAAGTCAAAATTTCTCTAAGAAAAGATTTTTTCTCTTTCAAAAATGTGTTTGTTCACTGTTTCGGAGATTATGTTTAAAACATGTCAACTCAAAAAGCGTCCTACATTTTTTATGAAATTTTAAAAGTCAAAACGCTAAAATCTAGAGAATTTTAGTAGCGTTCAAATGAATCGTCGATAGTTCCGATAGCACTAGAATTAAAAAGGAAATTTCGCTTTTCAAAATATTTTTCGGAAGCTAAATTGTCTGATTCGTTTTAAGTAATGTTTAATTCTTAAAAAAATGGAATAATTTCCTGGAAAACTCATATACTCAGAAAAATTACAATGGTCGCTTTAAAGAATGTTTATTTAATATTATCCGCAAAATAATCTACTACGCTAAACCACAATCCACTCGACAATTCCACTTAGTTCCACTAGTTCTTTGGGTTGATTTTGGACACCATTCTTAAATAATAATTACTTATACCGGCCACTCTAACTGATACGTAAAAACTGCGAAACTGGCATTATCCATTACCGAAAAATATTACAACTGTTTAACGTAATCTTCTAAAGTGACTTTTTATCATCCCGCATTCCTTCAGTTCTGTTGAGAAGATTTATTATTTTCGTTGAATACAGGACTGGCATAAAATACGTGCTTGATTTGATATGGGCGATTATACAGACAAGTTAATTGAGATATATTCACACTGGATTTATTTAATTTATATTTTTTTCTGCCAAACTGTAAATGAAACACTTTACTAATTGCTCTTTTTCAGCCAGCTCAACCATATAATTCGTCAATTTGAAAGCAGGCATGAAAGTAGCCAATTAACTCGCAAATCTAATAACTTAATTAAGGGGTTTTTGATTGCTTCTTATATCTTTTTAATAGCTTTGATTTGGATCACCCTGTTCACAGATCCAGTTAGAAGTTTTCAAAACCATACCGTTCCGACGACGGTTAAGTTCATTAGTTTTTTAATCGATATGGAAATAAAACTTTGAATGATTAATGGAATGAATGTGGCTTTTTCAGGATTAACAACCATGGCGTAGTGAAAACCTTCACGGTCCGCTACAAGTGCTGTTACGGGTTCAAGAGAACGTCCGACGGATGTACTAAACAGGTAAGACATGCCAACCAACCTTAATTTCTTCGTTTGTTTATTTAATGGCTAAACTAGTCGATAAAATTGCCAATATATCTGGTAACACATAAATATTTAAAATGCACTGTGACTTACACAAAAAAATAAAAAAAAAGCGGTTTGAAAATCGAAATTTAACATGCGTTTAAATCATTCATTGACAATGTATACAAATTAAACTTAATTAAAATCTTGAATTTTGCGAGAGCAAGAAATTTACCGATTTTTCTCATGAACATTTTTTAATAAATCTACGAGTTTGAAGAACGAGACGATATTCTGACATGTACTTAGACAAATTGTGAAAATACTCCGTTCCGGTGAAATTTGCTGCATTTGGTTCCTTTATTGGGTTTTAAAAGCGTTAAAAAATTAACGATAAAAGTAAGAAAATGACTGGGTAAAATAAATCTGAAACTTCTATACAGGGTGGCCATTTTCTGAATCTTTGTATGGGTAACTTCTACATTTTTAAAGATAGAGAATCCGTTAACTGGGCAAAATTGGGCAGAATTCAAATGCCCATTCATTACCGTTTTAAAAATTTAGGTACCCGACTTTGGTTCCTGAAATATCATGAAAAGACAAGAAATCAACACTTTTTTAATTATCATATAATTCGTAAACAGCTTAACTTAGAAAAAAAGTTAAAATTGTCTTTTGTGGAACTTTTTGCGTTGAATTCAATAAACTGGGACTCGTTGTCATAGTCAACTTGATTTACGAAATAAAAAATAAATTTATGTTTTTTTAAATGGTAATCATAGTTGGCTGTGGGCCTTTTAAAATCCTTATTTTTTTCAGAATTTAACTATATTGTATGTTTTTCTCCTTCTGTTGCCGTAAAACTTCAAAAGATAAAAAATGTGTAGTAGACTATGGAAACAAGAACTACATTATCACACAAAGCAGAAAACAAAAATTAAATAATTAACAGACACAATCATGTTTACTGGGCTAATGAAAATCATCATCTAATTGAAAATAGACGAGATCAACGTGTTTTTTTTCGTGAATGTCTGGTGAGGCATTTTTAATGATAAAATTATTGGTCTATTCTTTTATAATCACAATTTAAATATGGGACCATATTTACACTTTTTACCAAATGAACTTGAAGACATGTTGAATAGTTTTCCGTTAGTATCGAATAGAAAATTTGCATATTTTCAACATGATAGTGCACCTTCACACAACTCACGAGTTGAATGTGAAGATGCCAAAAAATACCTGGACGTAAACGGAAGTCAATTTGAACATTTAGTTTAAACGATTTATTATTTCATTTTTGTTTAGTGCTTTGTGTGATAATATAGTTCTTGTTTCCACAGCCTACAACACATTTTTTATCTTCTTTTGAAGTTTTACGGCTACAAAGGGAGAAAATCATACAAACAATTATATCGTTAAATTCAGAAAAAAATAAGGATTTTAATAGGCCCACAGCCAACTATGATTACCATTTAAAATACCAAAAGTTTATTTTTTATCTCGAAAATCAAGTTGACTATGATAACGAGTACTAGTTTATTGGATTCAACTCAAAAAGTTTTACTAAGAGCAGTTTTAACTTTAACTTTAACTAAGTTAAGCAGTTTACGTAATAAGTGATAATTAAAAAAGTGTTGATTTCTTGTCTTTTCAGAATATTTCAGGAACCAAGTTGGGTACCTAAATTTTGAAAACGGTAATGAATAGGCAATCTTTAAACATGTAGAAGTTACCCATACAAAGATTCAGAAAATGGCCACGTATGAGGAGTTGTGAGTAAGTGAGTCTAACAGTAACACAAATAATAAATTAAGCACCTTGTGGATATTCTAAAATATTATCAGAACAGAAGTGTTTGAAGAAAAGTCCAATAAAAGGTCATTAATGATTAAGTTAAATTCAGATCCTTCGTAGGCTTTACAAAAGCGATAATTTACAAAATATGAATTTGATAACATTCATCAGTAATGAAAATTGCAAAACTTGATAAAATTGGAAGTGAAAAGTACGTATCAATTATGTATCCATCAACTTGCAGCAAAGTCATTAAATGAATAAAAAAAATGTTTTTTTATTACTTGTACCTTTTCGGTACCTTCAGAGATTTGCGAGCCAAATTTTAGACTTTAATTGAGAATTTTTTTTTTAAATTGCCTTTGGACAGTCAAAAATGCTCCAGAAAATACTGAAAATTGCATTGAAGCACCCTCAGGTTATGTCATTAAATATTTTCCTCCAACTCAATTTTTAGACCAAAAATTGGTAAAATTAGATCTGTAAAATCGAATCGAAATCGAACAGAAAAGAATGCACTTTTTAGTCAGCTACGACGTCTTCCTGGTTGAAATCTAAGATAAAAATCGATTATTCGAACCAGCACATTTTATTAGTTTTATTCATGATTTTCAATTTCAACATCGGCAAATAATAACAAAAAGAAATCTGTTAACTCATTTTGCAACAACTACGTTCCCTCGCTTATCCATTTAATATTTACAACTAATTCGATTATTATATAATCAGTTTTAAATGAAATAAGTGTATTTTCTCGACAGGTTGACCTCAAACCCGTCCTTCAAACCCTGGATGATTTGAAATTGGATGAATTCCGAGGACTGATTAAATCAAGCGGATTGGATGGCAACTTTGAAGCCAGCAACTTTACCATCTTCGTACCGAGCGATATTGCTATTCATGAATACAATGAGAGACTCAATGATATGGTGAGTAGTAAATAAATACACTTGAACCGAAAAGTGCTTATTAACTGTTAGAGGAAGAAACGTTTTAAAATTGCAATTGCAGCTTCTGCATAAGACAAAAATTCGTAATGTTTCAACTGTATATTTGCTTTCACAAGTAGGGTTCTCAAGTAAATAGCGCTCATATTGCTATTGAAAATCACAGTGAATTTTGTAACAATTAAGGGTAAAGGTTCACACTTACTGACTATGTATTTTAATGCAAATTAATTTCTTAAATGAGAAAATATATTTAAAAACCATTTTACAGAATCGAGTAGACCCAGCTAGACGACGAAGGGCATTAAATGCACTTTCCTCCAAAGACCTTGTTTTAAGTCACACAGTTGATGGGTTTGTGGAACTAGCTGATCTTGAAAATGAAGCGACTTTAGAAAGGTAAGAAGCTATTGCGCGTTCATAATTTATTTACAGGTTTCACTATCTTCAAAGCTTTAATGACGCGTTATATCAAAACATTTTTATTCAATTAAAATTCAATTAAAAGTCCATTGCCAAATAGTACAAAATAATGGAAAATCAATAAATGAGGAACCATGGGAATAAGGAAGACAAGCTTTGTAAAAAAGTTCATAGTTCGAAGAGCAGAAACGTGAGGAATATAATATGACTAAACATTAATCATAGCAGTGTCTATAGAAATTAGCACATCAGGACAAACATTCAATTGCATATAAGTAGTTACAAAATAATAATAAAATCACTCTCATCTTTCGGCCGTATTATTAATTTGCATTGTTAAAAAATCCTTCAATTGGCACTTCGGTGTGCAAATTCGGCAATTTTGGAAGAAATATGCTTTTGTAACATTGCAATAAAAATTCTAATTTTTTAGTGAGGATAATAAGAAGTCAACAATTCGCATAAACGTCTACCCAACACATTCTTATGAAAAAATGTTGACTGCTAACTGTGCCCGATTGAGGAAGGGCAACATCTTGGCTGAAAATGGAATTATCCATATTGTGGATCGCGTGATTACACCAGCTTCAGAACGCATAGAAGAAATCGTGAAGAATAATCCGAAACTTACAAGTTTAGCTAAAGGTAGGCTTTGAACAACATTTTTTTAGTTTGGAATAGTGCTATTGAAATTCATTTTGAAATCGCATGCAAATGTATTCAAATTGGAGTAGTATTAGTGATTTTATGGGACCTAAATATATGAGAAAACTAAATTGTTTATTCTATCTAATAGAATGGTATCTTCTAAATAGAAAAATAGTCAGAAAAGTTAGAAGAAAAAGTTTTTTCTCTGTTTATATTTCAGGCAATATTTTATTTTAAATTCAATTTAACTAGTAAACTCGCAAACAATGCAACTTTTTTTTAGCAAAATTATACATTTTTAATGACAAGAGTCGATTATTCGGTTGTTCGACTTGCTTGAAATTTGACTAGCTATTTCTCATCTAATAGACGAGAACGCTTTTCGTCGAAAATATTTTTCATTTGAAAGCAGTTTCCAAAAATTTTCGCAAATGGTATGAAAATTTACCTGCAACTTCTAAACATCTAACTTTTAATTCACTATATGTTATACAAGTTTTAGTAGTGGGTTGAAATTTTTCGAAATTCAATGTTTTTGAAAGTTTTTCTTTTAAAGTCTTTGAAGTTCAAATTTAGTCCGAAATAAAATGCAGTTCAAACTAAAACCTATCTAATTAGTAGTTAAAATAAAGATCACTATTTCAGATTCTTCAGAATATTTGTGAAAAACCTTCAAAATTTTACCCAAAAAATAACTCAATGATGACCTTAAAAGTTGCAATATCTCGAGTAAATGCTATTCTTTATTTTATTACTGCTTGTTCACATTTCAGCTCTGGAAAATAGCGACATACTCAAACATCTGAAAGCTGATGGACATTACACCATCTTTGCCCCAACTGATGAAGCGTTTAGTAAGCTGGACGAAACCCAAAGACAGAAGCTGCTCAATGGAGGAAGTTGTGCATCGAGTAAGTATTCTAATAAAGTAATTAATTTATCAATTTTCTTGGTTCTTTGCTTACGAATAAATGTAGTCAAGACATCTGTGATTTTAGCGGCAATAAAAAATGATTTTAGCACCATATTTACGGTTTTTTTCAAAGGGATACATAACGAGTTACTTAAGAAGTTATTTTTTGTTTTTATTTCAGATATATTAAAACACCACATTGTGGCTCACACCGTTTGTTCTTCGGCTATAATTGGAAACGCCACCACTCATAACGTGGACGGAGTTGTTCTCAACATGGAAAGAACCGTGGATGATGAACTCACTTTTGAGGGCAAAGCGAAAATAACTCAAGCAGACCTTATTGGAACCAATGGAGTTATCCATTTGATTGACTCGTTAGTTATTCCTGAATCAGGTAAATCTGGGAACAATGCAGCAACATTTTGTGTTTTCACTTTTTCTGTTCAACTTAATTTGACTCTTGTTCTTTCTTCTACTTTGTGCGTTTATTCATTTTGAAGAAAATTCTCACTCTAAATTGTTATTATACAGGCCAATACATTGGAAATGTGATCAAGACCCACAACTACACCAAATTCCAAGAACTGGTGGAAAAAGCTGGCCTAACTGAAGAGCTGAATAACTTCGACAATGCCACAGTTTTCATACCATCCGATCAAGCATTTGAAAATCCTGAAACTATTAAGCTTTTGGAAGGAATTGGCAATGATCAGTCGAAACTACAACAGTTGGTCAGATACCATGTTATTGATGGAGAAGTTGAATCTACTGATATGTCGAATGATATGAAAATTCCCACTAAAGATGCCGGAAAAGAGTTGCGAGTTAATTTATATTCAACCGTAAGTTTTGAAAGCTTTTTAAATTTTATGTTCTTGTTTTTAATGTTTGTATTAATTTTAGTTACCTCTATTTACCAACGTAATTAACAGGGCCACTATTAACTGCGCCCGACTCACAGGGTTTGATGAGAAAGTTTGCGGCTCAATTGTCCATGAAGTAAACAGAGTATTAGCGCCTCCAACCAAAAATATTCTTGAAATTATCCAGGATAATGAGAAGTACTCAACGTTACGGGAACTTCTTAATGGAACAGAGGTAAGTAACGATATCACGGTTATCGTTGCTATTACAGCTCAAATTATTGAGGACGTTTTTATAGAATGATTTAAAATTGAGAGTATCGCGTTTAAGGGGACTTTTCTTGAAATGAAAGTGCTTTTAAAATGGTGAATAATAATTGTTACTTAAAAATTAAGTAACGCAGCAATGGAAAGTTCTGAATTTTCAAATCGTTTAATATAAGTTTCTACAAAAACATTGCAAGTTTTGCTGGGTGTTTCTTAAATTGGCTTAGATCATTTCACTATTAGTTAAATTTGACTTGAAAATTTTAATATTTAGACTCATTTAAATGAATAAAAACCGACCTTGTCGTCCTCCTTTAAACGGCTGAATCGAAAAAACTAAATAAGCTGGAACTAAACTTGAAATGAAATATTTCCCAATTTTGTGTCATTCCAGTTTTAAATCACTCCGAATAGAAATATTCGAAAATTGTTTAATTGCCGTAAATATGCTAAAAAAATTTTATACGCGGATGTGCTGATTGAAAAACTATAACAAAACATGACGCCACCTTTTTGCTCAGATCTGAGAAACAACTGGAGCCAGCGCGCTCATTTTTACACTATTGAATAGAGTAGTAAAGAGCAGCTTTATGAAGTAAAATATTGCCAGTTTGCATACAAAAAAAAACGAATTTTACAGATCGTCTTGTTTTTCATATAACGAAAACCCTTCAACCCACAGCGTTCGTTCTCTTACCATCGACTAGAGGAGTAAAACTACATTTGCGAAATTAAACATTAGGTAGAAAATATCGACAGTTGTTCACACACAAGACGAACAACACTTGTCTTACATCATTCATTCAAACGTGAATATTTACAAAACAGCTGCAGATAGTATCGACAATAGAAGTTAGTATAGAGTTTCGCCAAGAAAAATAAAACAGAGCAAAACAAAGAAAATAAACAAAAACACTTTATGCCAGCAAAATAATTTTTGAGGCACACTAGAGATATTTCACAAATTATGAAAAAAGCGCCATTTAAAAACCAGTTTGCAACATTAAGTTTAAAAAAATAGTTCTTGCAATAATTATCATCCTGAAAAAGAATGCTGATTGCAACCAGGCCACTTGAAACCACCAAGAAAAAGTCAAATTAACCATAAAAAAACTCAAATTTCAAGACAATTTATATACAAAATTTAAACAAAAACTAATGCAGCTATCATTGCTTATAATGATTTTGTTAGGTTTTGTATGTATGTTTTACATATAATTTAGGTTAATTGGTTTATTCGTTCGATTTTGTTTCAGGTTGAGAAAGTTTTGCAGCAAAATAACAGATCGATCACTTTCCTAGCCCCCACAGATGAAACCTTCGCCTTATTAGAAGACAAAGATCTTAAAATGCTGAAAGAAAATAAAGAGAAAGCGGAAGAAGTCCTGAGGAACCATGTACTGACTGGTAAGGCCTTGTTATATTATCTGATTATACCAAAAAATATATGGAGAAAAGAGATATAGACAAAAAATCATACTTTATTTTCCATGAAGATCATACATTCATATTAACTGAGTTCATGTTAATCAATTCATTGAAATGAAGCAGATCGCCACTAGCGCATTCATTATGGAGTAGCCAAATGCAGTAAATTTTATGAATTACCTGAATTATTCTGTTTGCATTCTACATTTTTCAATTGTGTATTAAAATTTGTTTCGTGTAAGTGTTAGATGGTACCAGTAAAATTTTAAATAAAAATGAAGCACCATCAATGTAAACATTGATAAGTTGTGTTACTCATACTTAATAATGCCGAATTTTTTTTCTGGTACATAGAATTCTAATTCTTGTAAAATATTAATACTTTGTGGAGAATTACGTACATTTTGAAAAGCGCAACGCA